ACAAATATATTTTTGTTTGTGAAGGATAAGTTATGGAAGACGAAAATATTTCGTCACCTATAAACACTCCATCATGCAGACAATGTCATTTCATCTTTCTATTAAATAGGCGACAAATATATTTTTGTCTCGGAAGAATAAGTTATGGGAGACGAAAATATTTCGTCAGTAATAAATTCTAATTGATTGCGTGACGAATATATTTTTCATCTTATAAGGTTAAGTTGTGAAAGACAAAAATGTTTTATCACCAATAATAAATTCTTTGTTCTGGTATTTAAGGATACAAAAATATTTTATCACTAATTATTTTTCTTTATTAAAATGGCGTGGTTTTGTGTTTTGAAGCATTGAAACTATGACCCCAAGAGATACACTCTGACGCTTATCACTCATTTTCATGTACACGGACCTTGAAGTCGTGACCCAAGAAGACACTTTCTACAAACCCTCATTTCCCTCTCGCACTTGAGTCTACTCCTCTCTCACAAGTATTGAAGTCGTGACTCAAGAAGACACTCTGCAAACCATTTCTTCTATTTCGCACTAAAGCCCTTCTCTTCTGTCTCACCCTTCGTGCATGCCAACATTGAAGCAATTATCCAAGAAGGCACCCTATGCAAACCCAATATTCTTTCTCACAGTGAAGGCCCTCTTGCACGCAAGCACTTTTTCTTATTGTTTGAACCAACTCTACCATTTTCGTCTAGAACACTCATTTCAGAAAAATCGAAGGTCAAAATCTCTCCACCAAAAAAAAAAAGAAGATAATTAATGTAGCTATTTTTATTTTTTTTTTGTGAGAAAAAATACAGAGAAACAAATAACAAAAAATTTGTAATTTTCAAAATTAATAGAAAACATTACCTTGTTTAGTATGGAGTTTTCAATAATTAATTTTTAAAATTTGGTGATAAAGTTTATTTTCGTTTTAGAACGTATCCCAAACATGACCAAATCTTACTTTTGTCGTTTCTTTTAATTCTTCTCAAAACTATAGGAGACGAAAAAATAAATTCGTTAGGAAAAAAAAAAAAGAGGCGCCAATTTTTTTTCTTGTTGGCGCCAATTATTTTAGCTCATTGGAGACGAACATTTTTGTCACAAAATTTAAAGATTTTTGTGACAAAAAGAATTCGTCACCAATAAATTCCAAACTTATAAGACGATATCGTTTCATTTTCTTATTTATTTGGTGACAAATATATTTTTTGTCTGGGAAGGATAAGTTATGGGAGACGAAAATATTTCGTCACCAATAAACTCTTCATGCTCATTTTATCTTTCTATTAATTAGGTAACAAATATACTTTTGTCTTAGAAGGATATGTTTTGGAAGACGAAAATATTTCGTCACTAATAAATTCTCCATGTGTCGTGTTGCATTTTGATTGATTGCGCGACGAATATATTTTCGTCTCATAAGGTTAAGTTGAAGGAGACGAAAATATTTCATCGCCAATAAATTCTCCATCCCCACACAACGTTATTTTTGTATTTTTGTTAGGCAACGAACATATGAGTTTGAGACGAAAATATTTTATCACTAATTATTTCTCTTTATTAAAATGTCGTCAAAAACTAAGAGGCACTCTCACCTTAATCACTTACTTTCACACACACACAAATACTAAAATCATGACCCGAAAAGACACCCTCTACAAACCTTCATTTTTCTCTCGCACTTGAGTCTCCTTTCTCACAAGCATTGAAGCTGTGACTCGAGAAAACAATCTTTATAAACCATCTCTTCTATTTCGCACTGAAGCTCCTCTATTCTCTCTCACATTTAAGCCGTTTGTATATGCAAACATTATTATCCAAGAAGACATTTTGTGCAAAGCTACTATTCTTTCTCACAGTAAACCCCTCTCCACAAAAAGAAAATAATAATAATAATAATTAAACAAGGAAACAAAATATAAGAAATCTAGACTATTATGACAAAATTTGATGACAAATTTTTATTTTTATTTTTTGTATTAAAATTTAACCCAAAGATGACAAAATATTAATTTTGTCATTTGTTTTAATTTTTCTCAAACGTATAGGAGACAAAAAAAAATTTCGTCTCCAAAATTCAGGTGCCAATTTCATTTGCATTGGCACGAATTATTTTAGCTCATTGAAGACGAACATTTTTTGTCACAAAATATATATATTTTTTGCGACGAACGTAATTCGTCACCAATAAATTCCCTACCTATTAAACGATGTCGTCGCATATTTCCATTTATTAGGCGACAAATATATTTTTTCTAGGAATGATAAGTTATGGAAGACGAAAATATTTCGTTACCAATAAACACTCCATCATGCAAACGATGTCGTTTCACCTTTCTATTAAATGGGCGACAAATATATATTTGTTTTGGAAGAATAAGTTGTGGAAGATTAAAATATTTCGTCACTAATAAATTCTGATTGATTGCGCGATGAATATATTTTTCGTCTCATAAGGTTATGTTGTGTAAGATAAAAATATTTCGTCACCACTAATAAATTCTATGTCACTAATTATTTCTCTTTATTAATATGCTATGGTTTTGTGTTTCGGAGCACTGAAACCGTGACCCCAAGAGACACACTCTGACCCTTATCACTCATTTTCATGTGCACGGACACTCAAGTCGTGACCCAATAAGACACTTTCTGCAAGCCCTCATTTCTCTGTCGCACTTGAGCCTACTCCTCTCTCACAAGTATTGAAGTCGTGAAGCAAGAAGACACTCTGTAAACCATTTTTCTTCTATTTTCGCACTAAAGCTCCTCTCATATGTCTCACACTTAAGCCCTTCGTGCATGCTAGTATTGAAGCTATTATCCAAGAAGGCACCTTATGCAAAACCGACTATTCTTGCTTATAGTGAAAGCGCCTCTTGCATAAACACTTTTTCTTATTGTCTGAACCAACTCTACCCTTTTCGTCTAGAACACCCATTTTAGAAAAATCGCAGGTCAAAACCCCTCTCCACATAAAATAAAATAAAAAAAAGATAATTAATGTAACTATTTTTTTTTTGTGAGAAAAAAAATAGAGGAAAAATTAATAATAATTTTTTAATTTTCAAAATTAATAGAAAACATTACCTTGTTTAGTATGGAGTTTTCAATAATTAATTTTTAATATTTATTCTATATTTTTTTAGTGAATGTTTTTTAATATTATATATATATATATTTACTTTTTAAATCCCTTTAATTTAGATGGGGGCAAATTGCAGCAGTTGTCCCGGTACTTTGGTCCTTGTGTCATATAAATGGTATGTGCCATATCTATATCTATATCCATATCTATATCTATATCTATATCTATATCTATATCTATCTGAGAGGGTAATTTATATGTAAATTGGGTCGAACTGGGTAATGGGCCATTCTGTGGGCCATAGTAAGGACTGAGTAAAAGGGCCTTGAAGTTAGCCCGGTCCAAAAGAGCTTTGTAGTTAGCTTGGTCGGCATGATCAAAGCGGCGACAGTTAGTTCGGTCAAACCATATTGAGCCGAGGTATTTTGGGCCTTTTCTCAGGACCTTGCTGTTGAATAGCTCGGTCTAGGCACACCATGGATAACACGGTCTCAACAGGTGAAACCGAAGTATAAGTAACAGAGGAAAGAACCGAGCTAGCTAGAGCTCGGTCATTTCAGCCAGTTTAGCATGGCTGTTTTATCCTGGTCGTTTTGTCATACTGCCGAAGTAAAACCATCTCACTTGGTTTAAGTAGTGAGGAGAGTGTTGAAACATAAGCATTATCTTTCAGGGGTGTGACTCTTAGGAGGACTCTACGCGGAGGAATAAGAGTCCTACTAGGATTGTGCCATGCGGAACCTATAAGAGCTCACAACATCACCTATGGAGAGGTAACACAACTTTGATTCTCTAATACACAGAGCTTTTGTCTATTTGTCTATTTTGCTGATTTAGGCATCGGAGAGGTATCTGGCACACACCCGTCGGCTAGCTCACGTTTGTGTTTTCAGGGAGTAAAACGACGACGTTTGGAGGAGCGCAGACTTGATCAACAGGATTATACGAGAAGATTATTTCTTGCTCGTACACTATCTATACTATATATTAAGCAAAAAGGGGTTTTTAACTCATAGGCCTTGTGAGAGCTCCAATATCCTAATCCTCATTTTCTAATTTTTTGATTTTTTTTCTAACCCCCAAGCCTTGTGGGAGCTCCAATCTCCCAAATCTTAATTTTCTAAATTTTTTATTTAAAAAAAAATAACTCAGTATTTATTGATTTGGTCAAAATCTCCTGATCAGCATTTATTAACTTTTTCCAATCCACATGTCTTTCCACATGCCTGCATTTATTGATTTGGTTAAAATCCCATGATCAACATTTAAAATCCCCTCATACAAATAATTATAGATACAATCTGTGCATAATTATTGCAGTACCCTTTTCAACTTCTCTCATACATTATGATTAGGGATGAGATTGTTAAATTATTTTTATAAAAAATCCTAAAAAACATAATTTATGTATTAAAAAAAAACTAAAACAAATATGAATGTCTATAATTATCTCGTGCATAGCACGGGTGATAGGCTATTATCTATCTATACTATATATTAAGTAAAATGGGGTTTTTAACCCCCAAGGCCTGTAGGAGCTTCAATATCCCAATCTAAATTTTCTAAATTTTTTATTTTTTTAAAAAAAAAAACTCAACATTTATTGATTTAGTCAAAATCTCCTGATCAGCTTTTATTAATTTTTTTTCAATTAATCTTAAAAAACATAATTTATATATTAAAAAAAATCTAAAATAAATATAAATATTCATAATTATCCCGTGCATAGCACGGGTGATAGGCTAGTCTATACTATATATCAAGCAAAATGGGAAAAGATAAATGCAAAACACGCAAAAATCCAAAGCACTTCAATTTACGACCCCTGCAGAACCTTCCTATTCTGACTATTGCCAGGGAAAAGATAAATGCAAACATCTCTCTTTGATCAATATGACATGCCAAGGTAACCATTTTTTTTAGTCCAATAGATGAGTACCACAATTTGCCTACAAAAATTCAGATGCAGCATGAGTTGTACAAGCTCAGGCCACTAAAGTAGAGCATCAAATATTTAACATTACATGATAACACAAAAAAGTAGATACCTAAGCAGTGGTCTTCTGCTTAGGAATTGCGTCAACACTTGAGTAGGCAGGGTGGAGCAGATGGCCTTCCTTGGGCTCAACACGCACCCACTTTCGTCCACTCAACTTATGCCGTTCAAACTTGACACAACCTTCCTTCATAGCATAGAGGGTGTGATCCTTCCCCATTTTGATATAGTTTCCTGGTTGGAAGCGGGTTCCTCTTTGTCGAACAATGATATTTCCAAGAATCACTCTCTGCACAATGATGAGAATATACTTAATGACGTGATAAAGGTTTATACGAATAGGAAAAATATGATATCAGTATTTGACTTACCTCTCCACCAAACTTCTTCACCCCAAGATTCTTTGGTTTCAAGTCTCGCCCATTCTTTGTGGATCCTGCTGTCTTTTTAGTAGCCCAGCGCCTAAATGTCAAACTCAATCCTCCTCCAGTAACATCTAAATTAAATGTAATAGAAAAGGTCAATAAAGCAACAAACCAACAATTTACAGAAATACCAAATTCTACGAAGTAATAGGAAAACTTTACCACTAGCAATGCTGTAGATAGGAACATTTGTAACTAGAAATTGAAGGGTGTAATCAGTTTTCCTATCTACTGAGGTATCTAATAGCCAAGGTTTTGTAGAAACAGGGGGGCTGATTAGTGGTTTTGCAAGGGTTCAGTGTAATGTGGGTGTTGTGTGTTGCTCTTTTCTTTCTTCTTTATCTTTTTTTTTAAAACTTTAAAACAATACTGACCCTTGTCTCCCCATGTGTGTATCTCTCCCTCTTTCTAACCTTTTTATTTATTTATTTATTATTATGACTATCTCTTTTTCTTTTAGAGATTCTTTATGTCAATCACTCAATTTCCTTTTGATCAATGCCCATCTGTGAGCTCCCCCAAATCATCATAATCTATATTCCATCTTTTGTTTATTCTATTTCCACCATCGAAACATCATCATGCATGTATTCTCTTCTTTTGTTTACTTTATTTATTTTTTTATTTTTATTTTTTTGAGTCATTATAACCTACCCTCCTTAAAGAAATTTCATCCTCGAAATTAAATCAAGTAATGTAATACATTCTACAGTCACCCACAAACTATCTCAGGTACTTACCAATGCATCAATAAAAATTCTTCGACTACTACATGAGTCTCAACGAGTCACACCGGTAACGAACTAAACCATTACTTTTGCACCACAATTAGTTATAAAAACCCTTACTAGTATAAACCATCAAGTGATTCTTCTATCCACATCAATACCCTAAAGTAACAAAAATAGGATCTAATCCCTTAAGCGTAACACAAATTTTGACAAAACGTCTCCTCAAAATACTAAGACACCATACCTTATTGGTGATAATCCAACTTCAACGAACTATCTCCATCACTTAATGCATAACATTTTCACCAAGGGACAAATACGAGCAAAAGATACACAGACACATTTGCAGAACACGCCGTTACTGACAAGGAATATTCTGTCTACGGACATCAGTGAGCATATGCCGTTACTATGACGGAATATTCTGTTAGCTAACGTCATCGCGCGTAAACAAAACACGCAAAAAGGAAATAAAACACGAATGCAGGGATACGGGGTTTTGAACCACTGACCTTAGGCTTTGTCCCTTGGTCCCTCAACCACTGAGCCAAACCACTAAACCCAAGTCACTCTTGTGACCAGATATAGTCAAATAAATGTATATAATGCATAAATATACAATATAGATACATATATGTATACAACTTTCCCGCTCTTCTCTCTTTCTTCGATGATTTAGAGCCTATATGACAAATCCACTTGTTGAGAAATCCACTTGTTGTTGCTTTATGCTTTATGTATAGAAATATATAATTATCTTTTCTTTACATCTAATGTTCAATTATGTGTATCCACCAAAAAAATGTTCAATTATGCTTTATAGTTGGGCAAAATGGACGCTACAAAAAAAACAGTTGACCAAACCAAGTACTGCAACTAAGAAGGTAACGAACTATGAGAAACAAAGAATGAAGAATATAAATAAAAACCATGAGAGAATGAATGCTCTAGGAGTGAAGAATATAACAACTTGTTTGAAGGCTGTGGTTCAACATAAGAAATTGAGGAAGGAAAAACAAATACCAATTGAGGAAAATGACGATGATTATCGACCATCAGAGGCTGAAGATGGCAGTGACACTGAATCCTATGATTTGTTTGAGCATGAGGTACTATACATTTATGCATTGTGAAATATATTCTTTCTTGTTACTTTCAATTCATACACACATAGGCATGTATATCTTTCTACATATATTCATATTTTATTATGTTATTCAGCTGTTAGAGATACCATCGAGAGCCCGTTCACAATCTCATCATGAGGCATTGACCCATGCATCAGAAGAGGGGGATACCTCTTCACGTCCTGAGGTAGCTAGCCATCTGCCACCACCTCTCAATGTGGAGCCTCAACTTGAGGTGATTGCTAGTAATACTATTGGTAAGACACACTCTTTATTTACATTGATTTGAGATCTTAATTAAATTTGTCCACATACTATTTCAATATTATGGCTTCACAATATCAGTTGCTAAGCGTGTTCATGGCCTGACTCGAGGCAAAGAGGTTCAAGGCCTTGTTGATAGAGATGGAAAACTTAACGTGCCTATCCCTCCAGAATTTTGTGCACCGGTAAAGGACTATGCCTCAAAACTAACCTCAAAGATTGGTGTAGAAGTGCGAACTCGTTTACCAGATCCAAGTGTTTGTAGGTGGAAGTATGTTGATACCTCCGTTAAGGAGGCGATGTTTCAATCGCTTGAATGTAAGTTCGTTGTCTACTCTATTATAGGACATTTTACTCATTTTTATAATAGGTTAGAAATCTTAATTATTTATTGTAATTATTTTATTTTTTATAAGAATTATCTATGACTTATCTATTTTTTGCAGGATCAATTTGATTTACAAGGAGACCCTGTTGATATAGAGAAGACAATGAACATAAAATTTGGATGGAGATTGAGTAACCATACTTATAGGCTGCACAAACAATTCATGGAGCTGAAGGAGGCTAAAGGGGAGGAGTATGCAAAAAACCACCCACCGAAGAATGTTAATCCCACTAAGTGGATAGATCTTATTGATAAAAAGTGGAACACTAAAGAATTTTTGGTAACATTTTCATTTTTTTTATTATATCAGCGAAGAAAGAATTTGATTAGAATAGGGAGAGATTTAAAAAAAAAAAAAAAAAAAAAAAAACATTTTCATCTTTTTTATTATATTAGCGAAGAAAGAATTTGATTAGAATAGGGAGAGATTCTAAAACAACTAGAAAGAACACAATCAATTTGCTGTGAAATTCCATATGTATTCTTTTCCCTTTATCTTCTAGGCATGTAAGTGGAACATAATAAAAACCAAATAAGTGGAAAAATGAGAAAGGGAAACTATTAAACATGGATTGGAAGGCTTGCATAATAGGAGATTAATTTATGGTTCCTTAAAGTGCATCTTTCACATCATAGACTAAAGAACTAAGATTTCAGTTTCTATGATTGTATTAATTTTCTGTTTGTTCTTGGGTTTGGTCTGAAGTTTCATGATAATGGTAAGCAACTAGCTAAGTAACTAATATAGGGTATTGAGACAGAACTTTAGATTTGATAGAGTTGCGGAAGAAAGAAAGGGTTATGAGTTTGGTATCAGTAATTGTTCCATATCTTGTGAAATGTAAATGGATATTTTCACAATCTATCTTGCCCATGCTTATATGCCCCCTATTTGTGAACGGTGTAAATTACTCGTTTTTCTTTTTTCACCCAGAAAAATCATCTTATGATGAAATCTCAACAAGTACTCTAATATATTTTTCAAATAATTGAATGAAACTAGTAAATAATTTGAAATATCTTTTAAGTTGAAATGATATATAGGAAAATGATAGAGAGGAACAATGCAATTTCTTTATTATCAAGCATTAAATTTGTTTTACTAGTGATACATTTCATTGTTATATTGGTTCATTATTCCTTACAAGAACAATCAAAAGCCAACATATTTGTCTTACGAATAATACATTTTATTGTTATATTGGTCATTCTTCCTTATAGGAACAATCAAAGGCCAACATCGCGAACAGAGAAAGGATGTATACAAAACATAGATGTGGTTCTAGGTCAATCCCTATTAGAGTAGAAAAACTGGTACGTATCCTTGCACTTTCAGAATTATATTAGATTCTTAGCTTTATTTATTGAATATTTGGCCTATCGAATTAGGCACGAGAAAAGAAGATGCTACCTGATCTAGCAGAGTTGTACAAAGAAACTCACTATAATGAGAAAACACATGAGTGGATCTCATCTCAGGCTCAGTGTAATTATGTGAGTATATATTGCAATTTTTATTAACAAAATTTTAGAATACTATTTGTTATGATCTAATTTAATTTTCTAATAATTATTTAATTTTTTTTATATTTGATAGGAAAATATGATACATATACAAGCTGATCATCTCTCATAGCCGGGATCAACCCCTTTGACTGCAGAAGAGCTATCAATCAAAGTCCTAAAGCCAAGGTCTGGCTATGTGAAGGGACTTGGCATGAGACCTTCATCCTCTATTAGGAGGACCACTACCATATATGCTGAAACAAATGATTATGTGAAGTGCCTTGAGATGCAAATAGAGACACAGAAAGAACAAATACAAATGCAGAACAATAAAATAGAAGATCTTGAAGAGGGTAAGAAGAAGCAAGGGGAGATAATGGCTGATGTTGTCAACTTTTTGAGGACCAAAGGATTCACTAGACACTTTGAAAGTTGAGGGGACTCATCCACAAGTGGACATACTTCTTGGTAAAGTATATTAACCTTAATATAACAAATTTTATAAAAGAATATAAGTTTGAAGAATTAGGAAGTAATGGAAACATGCATATAACATCCAGTTTGTACAGGTGCACAGGATGTATAAATTGTGAATTAGTCTAAAAAATAATTTTTTTCTCTATACTTAAAGTATAGCGATTTTGGTTTTTCCCCTTCATGTATTGTATTCTGAACTCATGTTCCATGGTTGGTTGTTGAAGTGTTCATCTTGTTTCCGTCCTTAATTCTTTGTATTCGAGTTTTGGGATGTGTTGGGCAGGTTTAGAACAGGTTGGGTGTGTTTTGAAACAAATGGTTGCTGTCCAGATTTTGGTGTCTTCGCTCGAGCGAGGTTTTTGTCGCTCGAGCGAGCTTTGTGTTTTAGTTCCTTCGCTCGAGCCAGGGATCCTTCGCTCGAGTGAGCTTTGAGTAGTGTGCCTCTTGGCTCGAGTGAGAACTCTTGTGCTCGAGTGCCACGACCTGAACTTGCCCCTACGGGTTAAGGACGTAACCGGCCAGTAATCCTGAGATTACCTACGGCCTCTAACCAAAGCAGACAAAAGTCATCAAAGTAAAGGGGCCAAACAAAAGCAAATTTAAAACTTTGTCCATAGAGCCGTGCTTATATGCACATCATGACATTCCACATTTACAAATGTTAATAACTCACAACAGAAGGTATAGTAGCATAAGGTTCTGTACAAACAGGATCATTCAAATCTAAGTCAACTTATGAAAACTATATACAACAGACTCAAAGTCTTCGCCAACATGACAAAACATAAATACATAACAAAAGGGCGAAGACAAGTCTCGTGCGTGAGACGCGAGGGCTGACTCTCCAAAAACCTTGGTCGTTCCACACAGACTTCACTGGGGTTGGGTTTGGACT